AAACACTTTTCACTTCTTCTTGCCAACATCTATTTTTGTCATATCCTGAACAAATTAACCAACATACTCAAAAACATGACTTGACATGACTGTTTGCAGTATCCTGCTTTACATGTGTTTTACATTAGAGATGACAAACGAAGGATCGGTGCCTATGTGTCAGACATGCAGGCAGTTTCTCTAAAAATAGTAGCAGATGGTCTTGTTTTACCTCTCCTCCTGCAGAGAAACGCTGTGGCCACTTCAATAACATCAATGAAGTTATGCAACAAACTGAATTCTTGGGCTGTTTCACCACTGACTGTCACTGACCTGATACATACACACTGTGCTGAGCTCAGGGAAAGAAGGGACTTTTGTTACTCAGTGTTTGCACATTCGTCAACACTCAGAGAAAGATACTGAGTGGCCTTCGCTACATCTGTTGTGGTACGCGGGAATGCAAAAGCAACCCCTGGAGTAATTTTATTGACCAATGAGCAGTCAAGAAAGGATGAACCGCAACTTTTAAGACAAATCAGATGAAAGAAAGAAGTCTTTAATTAAAAAATGGAAATCTGAACATCAACAGAGCCATGACAACAATGTAACTGATTGCTTGTGATGTCAATCTGACTGTAAGTCTGTGCTTTTTCATGGCTTATACAATTTGTCTAAAGTTTTAATGTCAAACGGGTATTACAGTGCAGTGCAGAAGCAAGAAAAACCCCACATCCTGGATACTATCACACTCACCCTGTCAGTCTTTTGCCAAGCAGCTCTTTAGTACACTGAGCTGTATATCTGTGCAACTTCACAGACTGTGAGGAGGAAGAAACTCAGCTGATGGCTGTGTGTGTAGATAAGATATTTCATTATATATAGATGTTTAAATATAACGAAGTTGTTCAGGGGTTCCCAAACATTTGCATGCCAAGGACTGCCACAGTAGATGCACATTAGACCACTGATTCACTATAAGAATGGATAAATTACAATCAATCAAAACGGCCAACCCTATTTCTGTACATAATCTAAAACTAACTCAATGGTGCCATCTAGTGACAATACATACAGTTTGTTCATGGAGAGTATTTACTGTACTTGAACCAAAGGCAACACACACACCTGAGTTTACATTAAACACTGAATTTAAAAAAGACTGAGATTTTGTAAATAAATCCCATTATTGAATCAGCAAGTTACCGAGAACTGAAGATTTCTGGAGTATTTCCATTTTCTGCTTCTTCATACTTTTTCTCCACCACAGCTCAGAGGCAAATACTTCATGTTTTACTCCACTAAATGTATTTGATAACTTTAGTTACTAGTTACTTGTGAACACATGAACATATTAATGTCTCAATAATTTCAGTCTGATAAAATACCACATACACTGTTCTGAAATAGTCCATACTGCATGATGAATACTGAGATTGATAACTAAAGGTCCTCTCAATCTGAAAGAAGAACTAAGACTGTGACTGTAAGACTGTATGTCAGCAGCCATAATGATACATGAACATGTTTTCTGAATCACTCTGCATTGTGTGGATGTGAGATCACACAAAAGGTCTGACAGATTTAGTCATTTAATGAGCATTCAGAGTTTTGAAGAATATGAGGGTGTTGCAAGAAATCATAATCAGATAAGGGATGACAACAGCAGCAGGAGGTGAACATTATTATTATACTGGGTTAAATTAAATAACTTTATCCTGAGGAGAAAGAAACATTTAAGGATTTTTTTTTAAAGACTGGATGTAAGTTATGTGCAACTAATTGTAAAGAAAGGTTATCTTCAGATGGAACGCTCAGGAAAACTGTTTGTGATTTGTTCCATAAATCGGTGGATTTCCACCTGACTTTAGAGTTTATGGGATTATTACAGTAACCTTTTGGTGTACAACATGGTATATGTCATTAAGGTGAATGTTCTTTGTTGGTGGAGCCTGCCCCCTTGTGGTAAATAGTCAGGTGGGTGGTCAGCAGTGATCTTTTATTTAAGCAAAAGTAGCAAAATTACTGTGTACAAATACTTTGAAAGAAAAGTCCTGCATTCAGAAATGTACTTTTCTCATTTGATTTGGCTCAATTAGTGAATGAGAACTGTTTGTTGTTCACAAATTGCCTGAATAAAGAGTGAGTACAATGATCAATACTGATGAGTTGATTCTAGGGGAACTTATCTAACTCTTAACATTTGTCTTAATATTCTTTCATTGTTTGAACCATCACATGCAAAATGATCCATTCAGTTTGAAATATCTGTGTGATGTATATTACATAAGTATGTGACATGGACTGTTTGCGATTTCTGCTAAGTGGAAAATCAGCTTCCATGTGAGGAGGTATAATTTGTAGAGTTTTTTTTTTTACTGAACTACCTTTATTAAATTAGTTTTTCATTGTTGTTATTTTGTTGTAGATTTCATTTTATGGCATATTTCTTTGTTCATTGTTTATGACCTAATATTAAAGATCAAATGTGATTGTTCTGTTAACCGTACATGTAACAGTTTGCTAAAGAAAAAGCATTCAAATGTGCCTTTCTGTTTACTACAATATTGTACATTTACTTTTTCCAGTAACCCTTTATTGAAATCTGAGTGTAAAAGCTCAGTGTGATACACAAAAGCATTCAGCTAGACAGAACGGACATTCTTGTCTCATACAATGAGCAGTCAACAAAGAACTAGAACAAAACGAGACAAAACATTCCCAGCTTGACTGTCATGGTGAAAAAACATCTAAATATTTTGACCAGTACGACTTACACGATGACAGAACAACTTTTCATTCCGTAGGCCGACACAATAACTAGGTTTTGAAGTATGAATGAAAGATTTTTGGTGAGTGACTACCTTTTGCAGACTTGCAAAGGAGTTGTGATGACCCATGGAACAGCTGTGACAGTTACTTACAATAGTACAAGTACTTACAGTTTACAGACTGTTAAGAGAGAGAAATCAAGTACAATTACCCAAAAAGTGTGTTTAAGTCCAGTACCTGTGTAGTCTAAATGTTGTCACTAAGTTTCCAGCAGTGGTGAGCAGATACATTTCACCAGTGACTAGTTTAATTACAGCAGCTGTAGTTCTGCAGAGATCCACAAGAGGGCCGCAGTCAGTCTGAATAATCAATCTACACACTGTGGAAACTACAGGACAGAACAAAGCAACTGCAGTGTGAATACAGTACAATGTAGTAATGTGACCCAGTCTAGATGACAACTCACTGTTCATTCAAGTAAACTTGTCTGCTGGATATAGTTTTCAAATCAAGGAAATATCATGTAAATCCCATTGAGGTGATTCAGGGAGTCAGTTCTTCTTAAAAGGCCTGACCTGTCCCCTCACAACTTTGTGCATGAAGTCTTTATGACCAGAATCCCTATGAGAAGTTTTTAAGTGATACAAATACACAGGTTCCTTTGAGAGGAAATGCCCTGATTTATTCTTTTCTGACAGTCAAATATATTTATGTATTTATTTATAGTGGTAGTTATGACAGGCTGTATCAGAGCGTTAACCCTCTGCTGAAGCCACCAAAAATTCCAGGAAGCTGAACTGTGCACAAATCAGAGAGCTGACTGGCCGTGGACTGTCAGAGGCCACCTCGATTAGACTGTCTCATAAATATTTTGTAGTCAATAAACAGATGCTTCAGAGTCTTCCATCAGCATTTATGACTTTACGCAGGACTTTTATACAAGCCAATTAGCCAGCTCTTCTAAAAAGGCCCCGTGGCACCTGCCAACTTACAGTTATCAGAAAAACACCAAGATATTATATGAAATGAAATATGAGAATAAGAAGAAGTATGCGCCCTTCAAACTGGAAGAGGACAGCTCAGACTTGAGCCTAAAATTGAGTTCTGGGTAGAAAATAGTAGTATGATTTTTAAACATTTTCAGATTTATGCTCAGTGAGTTTGTTGTTTCATCAAATGAATGAACCCGTTGGCCTAAAAGCATTAATGTGCAGCAGAGCAGATGGCAATATGTAAACTTTTTAAGGAACTGAGTGACTGCGTTCAAATGCGGTTTTACCATAAAACTTAGTTCCCTGAGACGTGTTAGACATGATCACATAAAATGAAACCCACTGTAATTTCAGGGGACAGCGTTGACTGATGTGTGGTGGGCTGCTGTTTGTCACAGAGGGGGTTGTTGGAGTTCCCTTGTAACCGGAATTAGCTGTGAAGTGCGACCTTGAGGTGTGAACACGGAATACGAAAGGTCCGGCTTGCTTCAAGAGAAAGTCTCTCATACTTTGCACCTCGTTTGCAAGTGAATATCTTAACAAATAAAATGAGATTTACGCGTGAAGCGTGGTTGGAAACGGACAAACTCCCCTTATAACAGGTTTGTAACCCAGAAACATTTGAACGTGCTGGAGGTTCTGGGTTTAGTTTGGAAAGATAAAACTCCGAGTATACTACCAAAATAAAGTGCTACCTGCATTTAATTACGACAGACTCAATTAATTGTTACTAGAAAGTAAATGCTTGTAACAAGTCCTATAAAATAAAATATATCTGCGCGCAATTACGCACAGGCCTTTTTTTGCTCTATGCCTTTGTGGACGTGTTGTCTCGGTTTATTGCTGGTTCGTGCAGCTGATAGGCCGCAGTGTTAATGTATTCATGGGGAGGAGAACTCGTGCTCAGGATAGGCCCACTGTCAGGTGATGACGCGCTGCAGGACAGGCGCAAGGGGACAGCTGGGCCGGCAGCACCGGCCACTCGCATTTGAATGCAAATCTCCAAGAGTTGAGGAGTTGGCTGACGTCAGGCAGGCCTTAGTATACCTTTACCATCTTGTCAACAGAGACACATCATGTGAGACTGGAGACAGACTGGAACTACGTCGCATTTCACACTGGGAACCCATTTGGACTATATAAACAGCAGAAGGATTGTTTGCAACAACAGTTTCAGCGCAACAATGTCGCCTTAAAATAGGCCACATCATCCCCTTTGCTGCTTTTTGTTATATTTAATTGTTTTTTGTACAAATCATGTATGTGGGATACCTTCTGGATAAAGAAAGCGGCATGTATCACCAAGGGCCAGTGAGAAGATCAAGCATCAATCTGCCTCCACAGAACTTTGTTTCTACACCACAGTACCCAGACTTTACTGGATACCATCATGTGCCAAACATGGATACGCACGCACAGTCTGCGGGGAGTTGGGGACCTTCATATGGCGCTCCACGGGAGGACTGGGGTGCTTATAGTTTGGGACCACCTAATACCATTCCTACACCCATGAACAACTCATCTCCTGGACAGGTTCCTTACTGCTCTTCTGAGTACAGTCATATGCATCCTCCAGGGTCTGCGGTGTTACAGCCGCCGCCGGACAACGTTACTGTTGCACAACTTTCTCCCGATAGAGAAAGACGCAATTCATTCCAATGGATGAGTAAAACTGCGCAATCATCTTCTACGGGTAAGTTCATGATCTTAAACACTGTGCCAAAATTATGTTATTCGATTCTGTATTTATTTCCTTTCCTTGCAACGAAAAGCTGCAGTAAGTAACCGCGCACTCAAGAAAGTGTCTGTCCGTGAGTGCACGATTTTAGGCAGACATTTTAAAAATATTTTTTGGCAGTCCATGTCATTTCAAATAAAATTCCTCATCGAATTTGATTTGTTTAATTTAAAACAAATGCGAAGCATCAAGAAGTCCAATTTATTGTGAGAAAGTGCATAAGAACTGGACAGAAATGGAAAAGTCTGAAGGAAACTGGTGACACTTCCCTCATGCGGGTTGCTCACATTTAATTAATAACAGTGTAAAATGTCAACAGAATGAGGATAATTACAGGCTATAACTGAATAGGCTTCTGTGGAATAATAATAACGAATTACATCAGACAGAATCGGTCAAACGTGTCCATAAATATTTTCCATATCTCATAACTTTTAATGTAAAACTGGACTGAAGGCCAACAGCTCAGTCTACTGTATCCTCTCCTGTGGTGTAAATAAAAAAAAGGTGTGAGGAATCGGCGCCAGGCCCAGTTGTGATGTTAATGTCATTATTCCTGGAGATCTGAGGTCGACTTCCCTGTCACATTGTTTGGTGTTTTGAGTGTTATCCGTCATATCCAGGCGGTGGCCTTTGCTTTCAACACCTCTCCACTTTGATATGCACCAACCTTCCCTTCCTCTCCGAGAGTTATATTGCCGGAAAGAGTGACGTTTTTCACAGCCAGTGTCTCCAACGTGGAGTGGATACATACTGAAGGCCTTTACAGTAGCGTGGATTACTCTTTCAGATCGAAAATTGTTTTTAAATTGTGAGGGAATAAAACAGCCCCACTTTGTTACACTAACTTACATTCGTTAAATTAATTTAGCTTATAGCTCAGTGCAGGGATATGGGTGTCTGTCACATTATTGTTCAATTTGTCAGCCATTTGTTTTTAACCTTACATACATTAAAAGGTAACATGCGCTCGGGGCGCGCTGGTAGCTCACCTGGAGAGCACCATGTGCCGGGGCTGGGTGCTTGCTGTGGCCCCTGGCCCCTCTGTCCATCTCTAAACTGCCCTGTCTAATAAATAAGAAGAAAACACACAAAAATATATTAAAAAGTTAACATGCACTCCTATAAAAAAAACTGTAAAACAAGCCCTAACAGTTTGAAACCAGCCCTCGTGCTGCCTGGTTGGTGTTGGAGTAGAGCGCATTAATTCTATACAAATGCTTTTCTTATCTGTCGTGTTTCTTTTTAACTTGTCAGTGGAGGATCTGATAGTTGGCTGTACTACACTTGTCATCAAAGCAATCTGTAGACAAAGCAAAGAGATGTGGATTTAAGGAGCAGCTAATAAAGATGCTATGTGCAGATAGGCCGGTCCTGGCATGTAGCCTGCTCTGTGTAAATCTTCCAGTTTAACCACCTGGCTGCTAAAAACCTAACGCTGTGTGTGTTTGTTTCTTGTCGCCTTCGCAGGTAAAACAAGAACGAAGGAGAAATACAGGGTAGTTTACACAGACCACCAGAGACTGGAGCTGGAGAAAGAGTTTCATTTTAACCGATACATCACAATCAGGAGGAAATCTGAACTGGCTGTCAACCTTGGTCTGTCGGAAAGACAGGTATGTTATTTTATTATTACAGTGAAATACTTCTGCCTGGTTTGTTTTCATGCACTACTGCAATGGTTGGGTCTCTAAATAATATTATAGAGTGTGGTCTAGATATCTAAGTGTCCTCAGATAACCTCTGTTATGATTTGGCGCTATATATATATATATACACACATATATAGTATGTACTGTAGGATTCATGGACATCACAATGAGCCTACAAAATGTCAATTTATTCAAGTTTTTAATTCCAAAATATTATACAAAGAATTCTCTTCATTTTTTACATTCATGAGACAGAAAGAGACAGATATATATTTGGCTCTGACATATTTATATATAAGATAAGATACACTAACCCCTGATATATTGTCTTTAGTTTTTAGTCAATAATTATTCTGTGTTTGATATTTAAATCCTAAAATATATCCTTAAATTCTGATATTTCAAAATATATGTTCATGGTGCATACAAAGGTTTTAATTTTCAAATAATCTGAAATAATGGAAATGTATCCATTAAACTAGACCTATATTCATCAGTGTTATTTATTTTTAATGTCTTATCACTCTGTAAATAGGTATTGTATTGTATTGTATTGTATTGTATTTTATTTTATTTTAGTAAGAAATGGCAGAGAGATTAAATAAGGTAGTTCAGACCCTCCCAGAATGTTTTTAATGTTTATTATTGTTGTTAGTTATTTTTTGAAATATACTACCTAGGTTTATCTTTTTTAATTTTATTTAAATTACAAAGGCCTGGCATGGAGATTCAAGGAGGCAGCTTAGACCCCAAAATATATATTTAAAGTTCATTATTCTCTCTTCCTATCGGGGTTTAGCTCTATAGCTTTTTATTTTATTATTTAAGGATATCATGGAGGTAAAATGAGGTAACCTACATCCAAAAATATGTATTTAACTTCATTATCTTTTTTCCCTTTTCAGGTGAAAATCTGGTTTCAGAACCGCAGAGCCAAAGAGAGGAAACTGATCAAGAAGAAGTTGGGTCAGTCTGACGGCAGCGGGGGGTCTGTGCACAGTGACCCGGGCTCAGTGAGCCCTCTGCCGGTGCCGGGCTCCCTCAGTCCCACAGACATCCACGGCTCTCTGTACCCTCCTCAGGGAATGAACACCTTGCCATCTATCAGGAATATACAGCAAGTGACTGTGACTCAGTAGTTCACCCTCTGGACCATCTAACATAACTGAGCACTCCGACACGCTGACAGAGGATCTGAACTCACGTCCTGAAGCACAAAGCTGTGGATAAAGATTTGATTTATAGCAACGAAATGCTGGAGGCTCTTGAAATATTGCTTTTTATAGAATAGTTCTAATAACGTGGGGATGAAAAAAACCGAAAAAATCGACGTGTTTCAAACTTAAAAGCTTTAAATTGTTTGTGAGTTAATAAGATATAAATATCCTTTGTTTGTATGTGATGAAGTGTATGTGAATAAAATGAGACTTCAGGGACATTTTAATGACGTTTTAAACTGGATTGTATGTAGCTCGTGCCACACTGGACAAACTGCTTTGACTTGACAAATCATTCACACACGTTCAGCACAATTTTAATGATACGGGTCGTTTGATGGCGACGCTCAAAATGTAAATAAAATGTTTTTTTTGCAGTAAAAACCTGTCATTTCTCTTATTTCCGAATTTTACAAAGTTTGGATAACAACTGCATCAAGATGTATATCTGAAATTCACAGATAAATATACCTACAACCTGTATCCTCCAGTACTGGCTGACATCTCCATATAGATTTTATTTTTTTACTTAGCTATTCAAAATCCTACTCCTACAAATATTATTAAAATGTAGGCTACACTCAGCATACAGGCCTACTTAACAGAAATAGATGTTTATGTACAGCAATGGGCATAGTGTTAACAATGCATCTACTTCTAATGTGCTCCTTTCCAAAGCCTGAGCATTAATAGACTGAGTCATCTTGCAGAAAAATAAACAGTTCAATACACACTTCAGAACAAACAGTCTGAAATCACATCACTACTTGTGACTGGTGACATTGTCCACAAATGAATATAGCAATTAAAAATGATGGGGTTCAGTTTCACTGCTCTGTTAAACACTTGACATATTCCACTTCCTTATCTAACTCTTGTTAGAACAGTAATATGGCAGCCTACAGGTCATCACCAGGTGCACTTTCAGTTTTAACTTGCAGGTTAAAAGCATTTCCACAGGGAAGGTTGTGCAGGTTCATGCGTTAATTAGTTGAAGTGACATGTGAATTGTCATGTGGCTAGACTGGTTATTTTCTTTACTTCGACCATGTCTGAAGAGGTTAATTGATTATTTTTGATGCAAACAGCAGAACCGATACTATTAAACACAGTATAAGCAGTTATTAATGGGTCTGACAGATAATATATTTGTCATGTCCAGCAGTGTAGTGCAGGTATACTCAGGTGTATAACCATACACTTATTTTCCACTCAGCACTTCTTACTCTCCCCTGGTGAGTTTTATTCAGTGGTGTTCAGCGAGCTGATTGTTTTTGGGATAACACAGTTGTCTAATGTTTACGAGTGGATGGTGTAAAGGAATACTTCACTCAAAATGCATTATTTTGAGCCAGTATTAACCGCAAAACCTGCATCTCTTCTATGGCTAATGTTAATTTCGACCCTTACCCGCTGAAGTAAGTAGTAAGAAGAAGTAGAAGAAGTTAGGTGACAATGTGAAAATACTCCTGGCCCATGTTTGGGTGAGTTAAATATGCTGCAGTAGTCTTACATGTCGCAGTTTAGAGCCCAGGGTGTTTATCCATTGCCGGACGGACCTCTGTACATGTTGGGGCATACATTGGCTCTACACCACAGGTCATGTGTCACTTATGGTGGTTTTATTGATGGTTTCCAGCTCTGAACACAGCGGGAGCGCGGACGATCACTCTTCACCAACTCCGGCTCCGGCTCCGCGCGCGCACTCGCTGGCTCGCTCGCTCCTGCTTCCCCGTGCGCGGCCCCGCGGGAGACGTCATGAGCGTCTTACTACCCAACATGGCGGACTTTGATACCATTTATGAGTTGGAAGACGAAGAGGATGAGCACGTAGTGAGCGAGGAACACTTGCCCAGGTTCTGTCCGGAGCCCGTGGTGATGCGAGGGGCCGGGCACATCACAGTGTAAGCAGAGCCGCGTCCGTCCGTCCGTCCGTCCGTCCCGGTGTCGCTTTGTTTGTTTTGGGTTCTTCATCCTTAGCATGTTGAGCGGATGCTAGCCTGCTAGCTTAACGCAAAAACAACTGTTAGACAGTTAGCGGTGTGTTTTACCGAGGGGGGGGGCTTTGTCCAACATTATTACGACATACACTAACGTTAACAGTTTTATGTCCCCATGGCAACCGTGAACGTGGTAGACTAGGCAACTGGTATTCACTGGAAGGCAAGTTTACATGTGGATGCCCCGATAGCTTCAAGAACATTATAACCGACTGGTTATTAACTTATCTGCCGAGTCAGCACAGTGTCACCGGCCTAATCGATGCCTGAGCTTTATTGATTGAACGTTGTTTACATGTTAGCCTCAGCTAGCTTTGAGGCTGTTGTCCTTTTTCAGGGTGTAACTAGACTACAGCGTGGGGGCACGTCATCACCCCGGTATGACGTCATGCAGTAGCTAAGTGAGATTTATTCAGAAAATAAATTTTAGTTTTTTTTTTTTTTTTTTAAGTGTTAAAGGTCCATCGCTGTCACCACTATCAGATCCTTCCTCACCATGACATTAACCTGACAAGAGACCAGGAGTTCAGAGCTGGAAACCTTTCTCAGACTTTCTTTGGATCTGGATTCTAATAAAACTGTTCACATGGTTTTTTTTTTTTGTAAGATTGAATCATCCAGGAAATACCTGATTAGCTTCCTGGTAAAGATAAATACAAGGAACAATACTGTCAACCAGGGACGCATTACTCCGCTGCTCCAACAACAGCTAATGGCAGACAAAAATTGCTAATGAGCCCAGTGAAGCTGAAAATATACCTGCTGCATATTATTATCTCTATCTCAATTCTTCTTTAAAGGTCCAGTGTGTAACATTTAGGAGGATCTATTGGCAGAAATATAATATAATATTCATAGGTATGTTTTCATTAGTGTGTAATCACCTGAATATAGTAACCATTGTGTTTTTGTTACCTTAAAATGATTGAATTTCATTATATGAAGTATACAATGTAAGTGCAAATTTTAGGATAAAATATTTGGTATACATGCCTGGAAGTTCCTATATTGAATGTCTAATTTCTTAAAAATAGACAAAAATACGAATGAGCCTTTTATATCTATCAAACACTAGTTGTAGATAAGGTATTTTGCGTTTTTTGCAGCCCGTTCTCATTCCCAGGTCATCAAATACAGATGCGAGTGGTGTTCAGTTAGTTGCAATCTGCAACTTCACGGCTAGATGAGCCTTTTAATTTTACATGGACATGACTTATTGACATGGTTATTGTGCACAAATGAGCTTCATCTGGCAAAGATTGTGAGCACACCTCTATATATAGATTTACTGCGATGACACACAACACATCTGTTGGATAATTTATAATACGAATGCAATGCTAATATGTCCAATTATTTAATTACTGGGAGAGATCAAACAATACCCATGTTGATGTCACATGAAGCGAAATAAAGCTAGTTCTTGATATTTTGTATGTTTGACTTTTTGAGATTTTACTGATGATGATGATGATGATGAAGAATTATTGTATTGGTTTGTAGGAAATATGATGTCACTTATTCACCTGGACCCCTGTCCTTTTACATTCATGCCATCCTTCTTTAATTATGTGTGATATAATGTCGCCCTTATTATAATGTGAACTAAACTACACCTCAGAAACTGTGCACAATGAGTATGTTATGTCTCATCACATAATCCAAAAATATATTTCTCCTCAGGCTCTAAATGAGTTTTGTTCTCATCATGTTCATAGTAATAGCAGATCTTGTACGTAGTTTTAGATCTATTTTTATTACTATATGGTAATGCTCACATTGTGTTTGTTCTTTCAGGTTTGGACTGAGCAACAGATTTGACACAGAATTTCCCTCTGTTCTCACGGGAAAGGTACAGTTGCTTTTTAGTTTCTGTGCACTTCAGTCATGCAGGCTGCTTTCTGTTCAATTCCAAGTAGGAAGAATTAAGCAATTAAAGCCACAGTGATTCTATTGTTCTTTTGGGGCTTTAACTGCCCCAACTTCCCCAAACCAGCCCATTCAAACCTCTCCAAGTGGTTTTGATCTGCTGGAGATGCATTTCAACTAACGCGCCACAGTGCATAGAAAAGAGCTTGAATGTGCTGCTGTCCAGCTCTGTAAATGAGTAAGCCGTCTATGGGGCTCAGTTGGCGGGGACCCCAGTGTTTTTGAGGGTCCAGCTCCAGGTGATAAAATAATGAAATGAAGACTCTGCCGTAGACAAGAAAGGAAAGCTTCCTGGGTCGGACGCAGAAACACAAAAAGGCTGTAGGGGTAAGAGCAGGCCGAGGGAAGTGTGGGGCAATAAAAAGTATCTTCAGTATTGTGACCCAGGGTGACATGTGATGGATGAGGTCACAATTATGATGATTGAAGGGTGCAGATCAGGCCCTGCTGGGCTTTATTCTGAGGTCTTTGGCTGTTTGCAAAGAGACCTTTGCATCCTGTCATAAAAGATTACGACCCCTGTTTTATGGCGTACAGACTCAGCGAGGAATGAGCATCCATTCAAGTTGTTTGGCCGTCGCTGCCACAGGCACTGAGCTTATCTCTCCTTTGAGTCCCTCCTTGCCTTGAACAGTCTAGAGCTCGGTTAGCAAGTCAGAGGCATAGAATTTAGAGATCTCATCTCATCTCTGGACAACATCTGCAAATATCTACCTGTTGGTTTTCTAAAGCTCTTTGATCTTTTTTTCTGCACAGCTTTTCTTTTGAGCAATTAGGAATCTTTCATGTCAGCACCACCTAGAAACACTTGAATATCCCTCCCTCTTGCTCTTTTGCAATTTGGTTACTGCTTCAGTTTTATGATAATTTCCCCCACTGCATAGACCCTCCAGGAACTGTTCATTCTGGCATACACACACCCATCCTCTTTCTTTTTTCCAGGTAGCGCCAGAGGAATTCAAAACCAGCATCAGCCGTGTGAATGCTTGTTTG